TGCCTGCAAGAATTATAGGTAGTTAGATTTCTCATATGGTTGGTTTGATGGAAATTCCATTAGCCACCTCTTATATTAAAGTTTATAATTTTATTGAATAATAATTTTTGGTTTTATTCTAAATTAAAGTTTTATTTATAATTCAATATATATTTTTTCGGATTTTTTAAATTTTTTCTAAGTGTAAAATCATTATAAAATTTTTTTCTAATTGAGAATGAAGTTTAGAAAAATTTTTGTAAAAACAGTTCTTTCAGAAAATATAATATCCGGAATGACTAAGTATTAATAATGATTATTGATGAACTAATGTGAAAGTTGCTCATTCAAGTACTTGTCGGTACCATTGAACAATTTTATATAATGTCATTTTTTTGATAATTTTGGCATTTGTTGCATATAAAGGAAACTTCTTATTGCATGTATGCAATTGTTTCGCATAATCATAAGCATAGTTGACCAAATTTCTTGTTTCAGAATGTAAAAAAAAGGGTTATCCTTCGCTCTTTATAGCTATGTTTTGAAAATCTGTCCTATAAACATACTTTCGATAAAACTGATTTATAAAAAATATTAACACCACCATAAATTAATAATTAATAATGGAAATGATTGACTACAGTTAAAGACTAATTAAATTTCTCGATGAACACTTTAAAAGGAAATCAACTGAATACATATAAGGATTTAATTAGTATATGTATATTAAAGAAGTCAACTTTTAATGTGAGATTTTGGGACATAAATGATTAATTTTGATTTTTGATGTAAGAATTGTAGACCCCCCAAGTTACATTTTTCCTAGAAGATCTAAGATTATTGGTTACGCTGAATTTCTCACATTTATTTTCGTCATGGTTAAGGGTATTTGTGTAAAAGATGACGACAACGATGACGACATACATTATTTTTTTGCCAAGAAAATCGAAAACGTAAATATGAACCCCTATATAGTCTTCTTCTAATCGACAGATAAATCGCAGTTTTTCATGGTTTTATACAATTTTTTACAGATGTTATTTTTAGGCAAATAAATAATTAGTTTTTTAATAATGCAAAAATGAGTGTTACATGTACATGGATTACGTATTTGGGTTGTTTTGTTAATTACGACTAGTTACACACACCGTTACTTTATATACATGTATAAAGCTACCGTTGCCATCCTCTTTTATTTTTTTTCGTTCCTTGAAAAGGTAAAACTTTTCGTTTAAACAAATTATCTTTTAAGATAAATAACTAAACCTGTTAATGACAAGCCACTGAATAATAACACAGCCACCACCTCCACACACGCGCTCTCTTTATAAAAACATCGAATATCTGTTCACTTTTTCAACCTTTTTATTATTTCTAGTGGTAGGCTTTAACGTTTTTATGATGAATTTTAAATTCCTTTTTAGCATATTATTCCTCTTGATCTTTTTCTCATCTGTGGTATTTAATGATGTTTCAGCAGCAAATAATGGTATGTATGTAGAGAGAGCTTTTAAAGGAACCTTAAAATGCTAGAAAAACAGATTAAGTGTAATTTTCAATTTTATAGCTGTTGATAACGCAAGTTCATCGTCACAAAATTCCACAGGTTCGTCGTCATCGAACACTAATACTAATAATAATAACAGCAACACACCAACAAATTCCAATCAAAGTTCCTCCACATCAAATTCTAATAGTCAAAACAGCAGCAGCAACAACAACAACAACAACAACAACAACAACAACAATAATAATAATAATAATAACAACAACAACAGCAACAATAACAATAACAGCAACAACAGCAACAGCAACAACAGCAACAACAATAGCAATAGCAGTAGCAGTAGCAGTAACAACAGCAGCAGCAATAATAATAATAATAATAATAATAATAATAATAGCAATAACAGCAGCAATAGCAGTAGCAATAGCAGTAGCAGTAGCATCGTCCACTCTAATACATCAAGCATTGTAAGTTTCGAATCAAAGTGATTATTATTGAGTTTAATTTTATGATATTCTAATATTCTCTGCTCACTCAGTCACAACCAGCAGATACTGGCAAAGTCTTTCCAGGCACAAACACGATAGATTTTTCTGCTGTCGCATCTTCCGTTCTGCCTATTACAGATTCATACGTGTTCTTAGTTGGGTTTCATGTAGTTACTGTCATTGTTTCACGATATTTTTTAGATTCTTGAATATTTTAGAAATCATAATAACAACAATAGTTATCCTTGTTGTGTAAATTTTACACCCATTTGAATCTCGCAATACGAATAAACTCCCGCGTACAACAAAGAATTCGTTTCTTCGTTTATCAAATAGTCCACTTCCTGATAACCAAACATCATAACTCGGTGTTTTTTCCGTTAGTCTTCGTGGAAAATAAGAATTTATTTACGTGTCACAAATTCCCCTTTCGTGACAATATACCGATTAAACTTGAATATAAGAGGTGGCTAATGGAATTTCCATCAAACCAACCATATGAGAAATCTAACTACCTATAATTCTTGCAGGCA